AAAGGATTGTGGGAAGATGGCCTCACAGTCGTAAAGCTCACTGGAATGTGTGTGTGTGGGGGGGGGCTGCTGGTTGCTCTCCCTCTGTCTCCCCCCCCCCACTTCTGGGTGTGATTCCTTTGCTGCCTCTGGTTACCCTGACTGCCCTCTTTTACCACCCTCTCATTCCTAGCCCCTCCCCCACCCTGTTTTCTGCTTTGCTCCCTCTCTTCCTCCATTACCTCTGTGAGGGCTGAAACTTATTGCTTTGGAAGATGCCTAATTCCAGTTGTGTCTGAGTAAATAGGTACATTGCACTAATCATCAGGCTTTTTTAAACTGCATGTGCAAATGAATAAGCACGATAAAGATCCAAAGACACACTGCGTTCCAGTGCAGGATCTGGGCACAGGCAATTCCTGCTCCTGCTGCCCCACCAGCCCAGTTCTTGTCACCTCACTCCTCACTTCATTTGCACACTCTATGGGCCTGCTTCCCCCTCCTGAACATTTTGATTGGCTGACAGTAGCCCTCTCAAGATTATTGGCTACAAAATCTCCTAGGTGATTTGTCAGACAAAGGGTGATTTAATGAAAGATGGAAATATGAACAAAAATGTAATTTTTGTACCATCTTTTGTTTAAACAAATCCTTCATGTTTAAGAGACTCATTTTTAGGAATTGAAAAAAGGTCCTGAAAGAGAAAAGTGTTTTTCTCTATTCAGGTTAACCTCAGAGTCCTATCTCTAGCCACATTCTCCCATCTATAACATTTATGTCGGATCCATTCCTTCATCCAAGCAAATATTTCAGAATTCCATGGTTTGGACACAGGGTATTCCGAGGATGTACATGACACTGTGCTAAGATGGCCAGTACACAAATTTATGAAGAACAGGCCTCTATCTGACGAGCTGTAGGAGGGCAGTTCTGTCTTTAATGATATTCTCTATTTAAATGGCCAAGTCTTATCTTAAAATGAAGAACCATAAGATGGGATAGAGTCAACATAGTGGTTCCGGAGTACAAGATTAGAGTGTAAAACATTAAATTAAAGGTAATGTTTAGCTAATCCATCTTCTTATCTGGAATGGTCTGGTATTTTGTTTGTTTTAGAAAGAAAAAGAAGGAAAAATTGGCAGGGAAAAATAGGGGAGTTATCACAGTAGGTGACATTACCTAATCTCCTCCATGAATGCAGCAGCAGGATGGCCCTTTAGTAGCCTCATTTCAAAGCACTCTTATTCCTTTCTGTCACAAGCCTCCAGTGGCTGGTCTGGCACATCAATGCAATAGTGCATTCCCTTTTCTTATACTATCTCCAGAGAGCAGCAAAACCTGGCTTTTTGATTGCCGCATAGGAAGTAGGCCCAAACCTTGCCATGGCTCAGAGCCATCTCAAAGCTCATCATCCTGCATCTGATTTATTTTCTTCTTCAAATTCTAAGCCAGAGAGTGATATTAAAAGTATCTATTCCTGATAGTTTAAAAAGAACATAGTTTTGAACATTTTGTCCTGGCTGACAACTGTATGAGTCAGCTTCAACAACTATCACAGCATTAATTATACCTGGGAATTGCAAGCTTATGGCTAGAGAAGGATGTAAGTGTGAGGGGTATTTTTAAGGTAAAGATATTAAAGGTTTGCTACTGGCCCAGATCAGAGGAAAATCAGAATTCAAGGATGGAGCTGAAGGTAATTATGAAAAGAGCCCTAGGCTACCAACACTAGATAGACTGCAGAGCAAATCAAAGCTGATTATATTAGTTTGCAATATGCTCCATTCCTTTAGTGATCATTACATTATCCATAAATTTGTCCATCTATGGAGAAATATGCCTAAGAAAGGCAAATCCTACTCATTGCCCTTTTCCAGGTTTAATAATCCTTTATTCTTAGTAGTCAGATCTGCAAATGCTTAGAGACTAGCCTCTTATGAATGGTATGTGAGAGCAAGTATCCTTCCTTCCTTCCTTCCTTCCTTCCTTCCTCAGTTGTCAATCCCATGTATGCTAGTGAAATTCTCCAGTATCCCGTGATTCAACTCTTCCTGTCTTTTTCTGTTCCTCTATATTGTTTTCATAGAAATCCTGTGGTCCAAAAGAAGATGCTTTATATTTTAAGAGAGTAATCTGCCCAAAAATATTAGAGAGGAGGGGAATAGAAACTAGATTTACCTGCTTCATTTCTTCCTTTTTCTTTCCAACACTCTCTGCAAAACACACTTGCATTCTCTTTGGGCAAGAGTGGAAGAAGTTTTTTCTAAAAACACAAAAACAAATGCAGTATATGGTGGTGCCTGTACAAGTATCCTTCCTTCCTTCCTTCCTTCCTTCCTTCCTTCCTTCCTTCCTTCCTTCCAGTCCAAAAGAGTAACTTTTCCAAAGGGGTTATTGACCATGGGGTTTGTCCCAGATTTCTGTATGGGACTCTTTCAGTTTTCCATCAAAGACACAGGAGCTCAAGTCAGCGATATTTTATAGCAGAGGTAGGCAATATGTGGTCCTCTAGATATTATTGTACAGGAACCTGGGTCATTTAGCCAGTAGTGATGTCTGCTGGGAGTTGCAGTCCAGCAGTATCTGTAAGGCCACATATTGCCCATTCCTGTTTCAGGGGCACTAGTCAAGCAGGGTGGAATCTGAGAGAAGAGTTCCAATGTCCTTTGCAGCATTACAAGGTTTGCCAGGCATATCTCAGTTTTATTTATTCCAATAATTGGTATCTTGTCCTTCATTAGCAAAAGTAGCATTCAGAGTTGCAAGCAAGATCCAAAACATAATAAAGCATTTGGCCACTTAAAAAACAAAATAAAACAAAGGCAAAACAGGATATCGGACAAATGGAAGACAAAATGTCACCAGAAAATAGCAAATTGAGCTGAACAAAATTGTTCAGCAGTAGGAGCTAAAAAAAGAAAGGGGAGCAAACTAATTTGCCAAAGACAGTTGCATAAAGGAGGATGGGAGGAAAAAACAGAAAAGTCTCTCTCCTGCATTCTGACAACCCAGTAGGCACCATGTGCTTCTCTATCAGAACCCATTCAATATGGCAGCATAGGCCGGGTGTTGGGACAGAGATGGTTGCCTTGCCTTTTAACTGAGCTTCAGGACTGAATGGAGGTCTGAAGCAGGTATACTCCATATCTAAGCTCAGCATTCTCTTTTCTACTGGCTGATTCCTAGATATACACACATGCATATTTTATGGTTCGAATATGTCATCTATAACTTACACCAGGTGTTATACAGTAATCATGTTTTCTACATAAAGGGTAATGCCACCAAGATAAGCTGTTCAAGAGAGCGAATTGTTCCATGACAAAAACATGTTAATAAATCTTCAAATAATCAGCAATGCAAGGCTAGGTAAGAAGCAAGAACACCTTCTTTGGTAGACAATAAGCATGCTTTTGAATATCATAATATCTTTTTTCAAGTGGATTCCAGGTGCGTTTAAATTTATTTGTTTCCAGTTATATTTTCTCACATTTTAAAAAAAGGATATCCTCAGTGGGGGGAGATGTTCATTTATTGCTATGAATTCCTCACAACATAATCAGCTTATTACACTCCTACATTTCCTTTTAGGTTCTTCAACAAAAGCTCTGTGAAGTTCCGAAGGTGCTTACATTCTCACCTAGAAAAACCCAATTTGCTTCTCTCAAGTAACAGAAACAGGTGCACACTACAGGAGTTTTTGCTGCCATGTTCCTCCAGCCTTCACCTCACCATGCTGTAGGAATTTTCTGTTCTGTTTCTGATATCTTTCTGCCCTACCACTATAGTTTAGTACCACAGCATTAGAATGTAGGTGTTCTTTATGTACTTCTTCCAAGTTCTTTCAGATAATGAATGTAACCATAATATTCAGCAACGGTTTGAGCAACATCTCTTGCTTCATAAAGGGAGTCCGTCCTGGACCAGAAGAATGAAGTTGGACTCATGCACAAATTGGAATCCCCATCACTATATTTTTGTGCTTGTCAAGTCAGTTTAGACTTAGGGCAACCATAGTAGGGTTTCCAATATATGTGAGATATATACGGAGTGATTTACCATTGTAACCTCCATTGAGCTTCCATAGCCAAGCAAGGATTTGAACTCAGGTCTCCTGAGTCCTAGTCTGACACCTTATCAACTTACACTGGCTTTCATCCACATTCAAGAGCTAAAAGGAGTGGTTTGAGTAAGGATACATTTCCAGGATGTAAAACAGAGGAGGGCACACAAACAGCTGTCTTTGATTTTAATATAATTGTTACATGAAAAGAAGGATGGAATAAAAATTTTTACAAAGTGCTGGAATAAAGCTGTGGATTAGATTTGTGTCTCAGTTTTATAATGATATATCAGACCACACTGAATTCTCTAATAATGCTAAATTGGTTATAGTTCAACAGCCTCTGTTACGATACAAAGTCATCTCTTGGCCCTGTTTCTAGGCCTTTGCCAAGATGGACTTTCTGCTTGCTGGTAGAAAAAGCTCAAGAATATAATCCTACTTGATAACAGTTTCTCTTAAAGTTTGTTGTGTTCAATGCTGGCCCAATACATTTTACTACTCTCAGGCAGAACAAGATGGTCCCCACACCCTTTCCCTGCACAAAAGCCAATTAGACTAGCAATTGAACCATTCTTCAGCACTGACAAGGGGACAGCATCCTCTTGCCACTGAAAACAGCAGGCAAGCTTAGGAAATTCAGAACAGCCCAAATACTGCACACACAGTACACAGTTCTTCCCCCAACATCTTACTTCCACCTTCCAGCATCTGCTGGTTGAGGCAATTGCCTCATGTTGTCTAACAGTAGGGCCGGTCTAAATGTCACAGCTTTTTCTATCAGAAAAAAGTGAGACCATCATGGCTCGCTCTCTCTCTCTCTCTCTCTCTCTCTCTAACTTCTGTGCTTTCGAGGCCTGTGATCTGTTGCACTGAGGTGAAGACAGAAAAGGACCCTTCCTTCCCTTAGAACTAGAACTGGCTTTCTGGGGGTTTGTCAGGATGACACAGCCCTTACCTGTAGGACACCTGCTTCCTGATGGACAAGTGGAGAAAGGGGTCCTCCAGCTGTGCCGCCGTGGAGGGACCCACTTCAGCTCCAGGTGCACCAGGGGTCAAGCTGTTGCCAAGTGGAAGGCTTGGTGGCAGAGATCTTCCAGCTCCGAGGACCCTCCATTCGTCTCTGGGAGACCCTTGCAGGCTTGTTTTCCTTCCTCTGGTGCTTTCCTCTTCTTCAGCAGGCTCACCTCCCTTCCAGGTCCTGGAAGCTTCAGCCATTTTCCCCCAACCTACAAGAGGAGTGCAGCCCTCAGTTCCCTGCTAGCTCCCTACTAGCAGAACCCCAGTTCTGGGTGGCCACCACCTTACAGTTCTTGGGACACGGAGAAGGGGGAAGTTTGGGTTTCTTTAGGAGAATAGAGGTAAGAGGAAAGCCCCTTTGCTGGGAACAATTGGCCACCCCAGCGATGGCTGCCTGGCTAATAATCTCACCTTCAGCCTTAAGGGCAGCAAGCAAAACTCAAAGAATCCAAGTAGGGGGGAAAAAAAGGTCCAGAAACTTAGTAAGGCTGAGTCAGTGTCCAAAATCTCTCTGGCTCCTCAGAAAGGCGAGAAGAGGATAGAGATATAGAGAGGAGGAAGAAGTTGGTAGCGTTAGAGGATGACAGCCCCTACCATCATCATCTCGAAAGAAGTAGTAAACTTGGAAAGGAAAAGAGATTTCCCCGAGAGGAGAGGGGAAAGACGCCTGACAATTCTGGCTTTCTTCTGCGGGCTAATAATGAGGGAGGAAAGCACCAGAATCGCCTCAGGACCCGCGATCAGACGCTTCTCCTTCCGGAATAGCTTGGTAGATGGGAACGAAACGGGGGAAACCAGGAGGTCTGCACGGATCCTGCAACTGCTGTAGACCGAGCGCCGGGAGAGATGGTGGCGGCGGAGGAAGAGATGGGGAGAAGGAAGAAATGGGGAGGGAGGGAAGGGGCTGTGCTAAAGCTACACTGGAGTGCCGTGTCACCTCAGAGACACTCGGGGACTTAACCCTTCGCAACCCAAGCAGCCGGAGAACGAAGCCCTGGTCTCTGACTCGCCCCTCGAAGCTGCTCCCTGGCACATGTCCCGGGGCGGGCGGGTAAGGATGCAAACTGAAGGAGAATCCCCGCCCCCGCCGCCCCCGGGAACCATCGGGTGCAACCACCGTGCAAAGGGCCGCCGTTAGAGCCCCTTTTGCAACGCCTGCATGTAATCCCACGACGAGGAAGGGCAAAGGCGCCTGCCCTGATGTTGTTATTTTGTTTGGATTTTCTGAGGGTAATGGGGCAAGTTAGTAAAGGAATTCCTCAGGCAATGGCCCTGCTGACTGAGGGATTCTGGGAATTGTAGTCCTAGTGAGTAAAATTTCCTGCATACAGTGCTAAAGAAGTCACTTCTGTTGCTTCTTGTTATCCCTAACAAGCATTTCCTTAGGATGAGTTTTGGTATCTACATCTGGATTCCATCATACCATTTAGGCTGAACATGGTGAAACTTTGTTCTATACCCTCCCTTTTTCTGTGCTCCTCCCATGTATCTTGGTCACGCTGGACCTTTTGCGACTTCTCACTTGACTGCCAGAAGCTAGGAGGGCATCAGAAATCGTTTGTGACCAACGGACTAGCTACACAGATGTATATGTCAGAGAGAGTGAGTTCTGAGATTATTTATAAATTTCTGTCTTATTTTATTTTATTTTATTTATTTGAATTATATCCCGTCCATCTGGTCTGGTCGACCACTCTGGGCGGCTTCCAATAAGGTGTATATGATAAAACATAAGAATTTTACAAACAGTCCATAACACATACAATAATAAAACAAATAATAAATGAAAGAAAAAATAAATAAAGAATTAAATATTGACAGGAGGGAAGGCCTGAACATACAACCATGTTTTTAGTTGACTCTTAAAAGTGCCCAGAATGGAATGCAAAGCCAAAGAAAAATGAAACACAACCTGTATCATCTGTATCTAAAGAACCAATATGATTTTGAGCCACCACCTATAGATGACAAAATTAAGTTCACACCAGGAAATCAAGGAATTGGACAGAAGTCTTTAACTTATTAAAGTCAGCCTCCAGCTTTTTTTTTTTTTTAAATAGGAATTGCCATGTTTCTGGGTGCTTCAGCTCCCAGCAGAAACAGAAAACGTATTCTTTGTCAAAAAAATGGTGGAAGATTCATTGCATGACTAGCATCCTTTTGCCACATAAATGGAGAAAGATAAATGATTTTACATCCCCTGCAGTTGGGAGTCTCCATCTTAGAGCTTTAGTTTAACAACATAACCTGAAACTTTAACATCTAGCCAGGATGATCTTTGGCCTTTTCTGCTTCTCTCCCCCCCTTACCCATTCTGCAATGCTCAACCTGATGAGTCCAGCAGGACTTGAAAGCTAGCCTTTAAAAATGTTAATGGTCAAACAAAGTCCACTTATTTGGGGACTTTGTACCCCACAGCTTTCCCTCTCTTTTCTTAGTTTTTGCTTGTGCATATTTTACACAAAATGGCTGGGGTTCTTTCTCTTAATTATCATGATGGGTGAAGAGTCTTCCAGACCCAAACCCTCCTGTAAATTATTATCAATTTAGCTTTCTCCCTATCTATTTTCAAAACATCTATTCTCTAGGTCCCTTCACTAATGGAAATGACTTAAGAAGAACTGGGATGAATTTACTTCTTCAGCTCTCCCTCTGTACAATGTATGTGGGCATGTAGTTGTCTGCAGAAGTTTTCAGCATTCACAGATATCTGTGAGAAGTTGCTGGGGATTTATGAGAAGCAGTCTCAGGTTGTGGTATGAGCAGGAGGGAGCACTTCATCTCAAAATGTCAAGGTGAGGTGCTTCCCTCCCCCCCCCCAGTTGAAGTATAGGCCATAGATGGTTAAAAGGAACAGCATTTACATTTAATAGAGAACCTCCACTTCCCAAATCACATATTGCATAACATGTTCCTGGGAGTGAGTGGATCTATGGAATTTCAAACTCCCAAAAGAAGTTGTACAATTCGTGGCATCTCTGCCTTTTTACACACACCCCCTTTTCTTCTTTTCCCCTCCCTCTCTGGGTTATTGCCCATCAATCACTTGACATCTTTAACCCCCCACACCTCCCACTTCTCCCCATTGCCTTGTCGTGACTTGTCATTTAGCCAAATTCCCCTAGCTTTCCTTTCAAATCTTTCCCATGACTCAGCCCTATCAACCCCCAGAAAGCATTAGCACCTCTTCTCTAGAAGGGCTGTCATTTTCTCTGCCTAAACATTTACTGCATGAAATGTACATTCATTTGGAAGTATATTTCCAGTAAATAGAAACGTTGGAAACTTCCTCACAGCACTGAGTGATCTATCTAGCCCAGCAGTGCTGACTCTGACCAGCAGCAATACTCCAAGGTTCCAGGCAGAATTTTTTTCCTTACTTCACTTGAGGACTTTTGGTGTTACCTGGTGGTCTCCCATACAAGTAACAATTAGACCTGCTTAGAATAGTCAGTGTGGTGTAATGGACAGAGTGATGGACTACGACTCAAAAGACCTGGGAAGCTCACTTGGCTGGGGTGGGGGGCAGGATTGGTAGGGCCCCTTCTTAAATGTCTCACTTACCTGAAAGCTTTCTTAGGGTTGCTATAAGTCCATTCCAACTTGATGACACATAGCGCACACATACACATAGTCCAACACAAGTACTAACAAGGCCTGACCCAGCTAAGCTTTCAAAATCCAATTAGCTTTGGCATCTTCAAGGTAGCATTGTGGTGTCATGGTATCCTATAGCTTAATAGGAGATGTTTCCACTCTCAGGTGTTGACTTTTGTAGGAGGTCTGTGTCTATATTCCTATCTCCTATCCTCCCTGCAGAAAACCCAGTCCTGAATAGTTTTGTCAGGAGCCAGATTATCTATCAGGGTGTAAATGAATGGTTTATTATCATCATTATTACATTTGGCCAAAACATTATTTCATCCAGTGACTCTGTACATCTGCCTTAATTTACCTCTGTTCTAATAGAACCCAACACTGGAAAAGGTTATTTCTGTGGATCACATGAATTCTCCAGCCATCATGGCAATTGGCCTTCCTGGGTGTGAAATTCTGCAAGAATCTAAAAAAGCCTTTTCCCCATGTTCTGCTAGAATCTTCACATTGTACCTGTCTCCAAGACCAGGGATAGCCTCTTTTTCCAACAGGAAACTAGGCCAGAGCTCAGCCTATCCTGGGCCACTATGCCTTCCAGCTCAGGCTTCCTTCAGGAGAGTGCAATTCAGTATCAATCTGGCAACTGGAACTCCCATCATGGAAAAATCCTGGGATTCAGAATAAAACATATAAACAAAAATGAATGCACATGTCTATCTGGGACTCCATGCAGCAAAATGAAAGGGAGTGGAAAAATAAAACATATTACATTCGATACAAGGAAAATAAAACATATTACCATCTAAAGACCAGTAGAAAGGTAAGGACTGCAAAACCATTGAATCTAGAATCACATATTACCTAATTGTACCGCTGTATTCATTTTTACATTAAAAGTACATGGCCCCCATCTTACACATTTGGTCACTGTAACTGCAATATGTGTGTAGTTTATTATAGAGCTGTATTCTCTTGACACTCCTGTTTGAGACCCATGCACCCTCCTTCCACAATCAAAAGAAACAATGAGGTCAGCTTTACTCCTTACCTTATTTTCACAGTTCCTGTCTCACACATACAAAGAAGGACTGACATGTGTAAAGACACTTTCTTGCTGTCTTGTACACAGCCAGAGGCCCTTTGCAAATTGCACAGAGCCCCCAGGCATTGTCAAACTGGAGGGGGGGGGGGAATGTGCCATAATGTCTAACATAGCCTGCTTCATGCTTTCTTCAAACTGTGGAGTAAGTCGAGTTTCATAATGAAGAAGGTCAGAAAAAAAAACATGGCTGTGATTGCCTCTACTTGGGAGGAAGCCACATTTAATTAAGTGGTATTTACTTCCAAAGCAGGCCCCAGCATTAAGCCCTAGCAAGGCAGCAGGTTTCAAAATCTTGCAAGGGCAGAAAATAATGCATTATTCAATTTGTTCTTACTGTATTTTTAATGTTTTCTGCCTCCCGAGCTAAAATTCTTTGCTGGGCTTTGAGTACTATCTACCTGCATTTGGTTACAGGGAAGAACACTGTTTGCACCTCTGCTTCAGGCATGAAAATGCTTTGGCCAGCCTTCCTTTCTTCTGAACAAGCCTACCTAGCTTCTGTCATCTACAATGACAGACTAACGCTGCCTAATGATATGTTGGCAGTTTGTGTATATTTGTACAACAACCTTGTAAAAACATGTGTCTCTGTGTGTGTTTGATACGGAATTGATTAATAAAACGGTGTCCGTCTGTCTGGATAGGAAAGGCTAATATGGAAACCAGCACAGAAAAGTATTAAACTAGTCCATCAAGTGAGTTTTCATGGGGAAAAATGATGGAAATATGCCTCTTATTAAATGTAGAGATAAACATGACTACTTCAGAGAGTCTCTTCTCCTAGGTGGAACCCTAGAAATCCATAGGAATTAGGTCCCGTGATTGGCTTAGATATTACTTCCTTTTGTTAAGTCATTGTAATGTCCCAGAAGAAAGCCAGATGGGAATCCAAACATACTGTTGGTTCCCACTTCATTATTATGGAGGACCGGAGATGTTCAACAGAGGAGAGGGAGTTTTTCTACCCACAACCTGGGTGTGAGATCCTGGAATACAAAGATGATTTTAATTTTTTTTTAAAAAAAATGTTTATTTTGGGTCCTGGTGTGCTTTATGCTTCCATCTCTGCAAGATGCTCTGATTCCTGAAGAGAAGCCCCATTAACCTCTGAAACTTAGGGCCTCTCTGAGCTGAGTATACATTCAAGTTTTG